ACAAATGTATCCCTGTTCGATGATAAAAATTAATATTTGAGGTAAACAGCCATGAAACACTCGAGGAAATTTAAAAAAATTTCTTAAAAATTAAATTTATTGTCGATAATGGGTCCTTTTAAAAATCTTTAAAAATCCACGTTCAATACCGATATAGGGCCCATTAAAAAATCTTTAAAAAATCCACGTTCAATACCGATATAGGGCCCATTAAAAAATCTTTAAAAAATCCGCGTTCAATAGCGATACAGGGCCCACTAAAAATCTTTAAAAAATCCACGTTCAATACCGATATAGGACCCATTAAAAAATATTTAAAAAATCCAAGTTTGTTGTCGATATTGGATCCTTTTAAAAATTCACGTTTGATTGCTTTTTGGGTCCTTTTAAAAATCTTTCAAAAATCCACGTTTGATGGTCTTTTTGGGTCCTTTAAAAAATCCATGTTTGATGGCCCTTTTAAAAATCTTAAAAAAAATCCACATTTATTGTCGATAATGGGTCCTTTAAAAAATCCACGTTTGCTGGCCTTTTTGGGTCCTTTTAAAAATCTTTAAAAAATCCACATCTGATGGCCTTTTTGGGTCTTTTTAAAAATCTTTAAAAAATCAACGTTTATTGTCGATAATGGGTCCTTTAAAAAATCTTTCAAAAATCCACGTTTGTTGTCGATATTGGATCCTTTTAAAAATTCACGTTTGATGACCTTTTTGGGTCCTTTAAAAAATCCATGTTTGATGGCCCTTTTAAAAATCTTAAAAAAATCCACATTTATTGTCGATAATGGGTCCTTTAAAAAATAATTAAAAATCCACGTTTGATGGCCTTTTTGGGTCCTTTTACAAATCTTTAAAAAGTCCACGTGTGATGGCCTTTTAAAAATCTTTAAAAAATCAACATTTATTGCCGATTGTGGGTCCTTTTAAAAATCTTTAAAAAATCCACGTTTGATAGCCTTTTTGGGTCCTTTTATAAATCTTTAAAAAGTCCACAGTAGTGTGCTTATGGGGATGTTGGGAATTCACCACGATTTATCACGGCAAATTCTATTGGGGATGTTGATTTGGGTAAATTCACCACGGTGAATTTTAATGGGGATGTTGTCTTGGGAATTGTACCACGGCAAATTCTATTGGGGATGTTGATTGGGGGAAATTCAGCACGGTGAAATATATTGGGGATGTTGTCTTTTGAAATGTACCACGGTGAAATATATTGGGGATGTTGTCTTTTGAAATGTACCACGGTGAATTATATTGGGGATGTTGTCGTTTGAATTGTACCACGGCAAATTATATTGGGGATGTTGTCTTTTGAATTGTACCACGTCAAATTTTATTGGGGCTGTTGGCGTTGGTGTTGCTAGTTTTAATATGAACTACTAGATGGCGCTAAGTTTAGCGCAGACACAATCCAAAACTGTGTATGGGATGGTGAAATTTCAAGTTTTAATATTCACCACTAGCAGAGACACCCTCCGAAAAAAAAAAATGTATTATGATCATATCGAGTGGGACTAAAGAGATTCACCATGTGAGAAGTGAATATAAGTAAGAGGTAAGTATCGAAGAAAATCATTTTATCTAGATGGCTCTCAGAATGCTTTTATATAGTCAACATGTTGATTACTGCAGTCAAATGTGCTTATTAATTTATTTGAAAACATATATTTCAAGAAATCGACTTCAATAAATGTGATATATTATAGAAGAGTTTCAATTGACAAATATGCTGCAATTATTGATATTTCAGGGGTTTTAAGAAAAACGATAACGAAGTCGAGTGGGTTGAACACGAAAATCAGCATGTTGGCTATGCAAAACATGATGAGATAAAAAGACAAAACTAACTTTTCGTTGTACTTGTTTTAATTTGTCTATAATTTTAGCGACTCAAAAATGTTCAGTTATTCCCATCGAAACGATATAGGCGACATCTAACGGTGAGTTCCATCCATACTATCCATAAATTATGTTGTAGCATAGACACACTCCAAAACTATTGAAATATGATCATATCGAATGGGGCTAGAGAGATCCACCATATGAGAAGTGAATATAGCAGAGACAAATTTGGTTAGTATCATAGTCAACAAGAAGATGTGTGTTCTATTATTTTGTCCAGATGGCTCTCCAGTCATTTCCCTCGAAACGATATAGGCGACATCTAACCACCAATTAATGTTGTAGCATATACACACTAAAAAAATGCTGCTGTAGCCAATCAAAGCAAATTCTTCTTGTGTGGACAGGCATTTTGATACATTATATCGATCGCTTTTTGATAGTTTTGTCGATGAAGAATTTGTTTACATTATGTAGCAATTTGAGAGAATTGAAACTGAAAGAGTTTCATGACAAACCCTGCATCAATTCGGTATTGAAGATTGAAGGGATTTGAAGAAGGAAACACCATTGTTTACATTAACTAACAATTGGATTTCTGTGAAATGGATATGAGAATTTGGGGGGAAGCGTTGTTGCAGAGTTTCATGACAAATTCTGCTTCAACGATAGATTGGAGCATGAATGAGAACATGCTTAACTATGCTCAAAATTAAAAACTCTAGTAACTCTGTAATATTGTGAAATTCGCGTTAAATATTCCTATATATAGAAGACAATTTCAAGTAAGGCTCACAGTATAAAATTAAACATTGAACGTGATATTATGGCGAACGCAGATTTAATAAACTTATTCAATTCTTTCAGTTATAAAAAAATAATAACTTTGAAAGAAATGGAGGATAACAAAGAATACAACATCCATGGCGCCTTTAGAACAAATACAAAATATGGGGAAAGAATTGTGCTGAAAATTAATGATGCTATCCTCTATTTGCCGTCAAGATTCCTCTCGCTGGCGGATGAATACATAAAAGAAATAGCTGGTGGGGGTTATTCTGTGACGAAAACTGTGTTGAAAGATGGAAGCGGAAAGAGTCTTTACAAACTAGAATTAAAACATTTGGATCAACCAGATTATTTTTATCAACCATATTTAACATAAACTGAAAAGTAAATAAATATTTTGTTTGAAACTAAAAATTGCAAGCTGTTTTCATTTTAATGTGTGCAGAGAAATATTTCAGTTTATTAGTGAAGCTTTAGAAAGGAAGATGTCTCTTCTTAATAAGGAAGACGAACGCTTAAAAACCTTTGCTCGCTGGCCTTTAAATTATCCAGATCCCAAGACAATGGCTGCAGTAGGACTTTATTATACTGGAGTAGGAGATATTACCAGATGTTATTTTTGTAAAGTAAACATTCATAGTTGGGATCAAACTGATTGTCCTGTTACTGAGCATTCAAGGTTGACATATCGTTGCCCATTACTGGAAGGGCGTGAAACAACTAATGTCCCAACTATTTCAAAAAATTGGAATTGTACACCTTCTGAAATTGGTGTAGATGTTTGTGGTCGTGGAGCGAGTAAATGTTCACCCATTTTCTTATTATTGTTCACTTTCATTACCTTTAATGCTTTAAATAAAGTTTTATGCAAATAATACAGTTGCTTGTTTTTATTTATTAACTTTATTAATTTCATCGTCTAGTATGTAGCCAAGTTCTTTCCAGTTTTGTTCAATGAATACAAATATCTTAAATATATTATTTACGGCACACTTAAATCTAGTGTCCAAATGTATAGGACAGTTTGTAAAATAATTTTGGCAAGCTCGAAGTTTCATATTATTTTCTAAATTTATAATGGTAGAATGAATATATTTCTGTAAAAAGATTTTCTTTTCTTGTCCAACAACAAAAATATATTGATAATTGTTCAATGGTGTAAGAGCTTTCTCGACATCATTATAATTTTTTTCTCCATCTGTCCAATCTAAGCCATTCACATGTGTCTTGGTGTAGGCATTTGTTCTGCATGCTTCCCCAGTAAGTTCTTTTATATTAAAAGGTGGACGAAACAAAAAATAATGTGGAACAACAGAAGCACCACACATATATGATAGTTCCTTCACGAAAATACTCTTGTGGTTTCCATGGCAATATTGAAAATCAACCAGTGCAATATCCGATCTATTGATTTCAATCATCTTCTTAGGAAAGTTGAATTTGAATGGAGGGGATATCATCGATGTTGGAGTATTTATAAAATTTTGTTCATGTCCAATAAAAACTTTAAACAAAGATGTCCACAATTGTATGTATGAAATCGTTGATCTCTTTTATAATTGTATGTAATAGCTGGTCCCAAATACCGTAAAACTTCTATCGGGGGTTGAAGATTACCGAAACTGTCGTAATAGTCGATATTATTATTGATTTTATTATATGCCACCCAATGCGTGCCAGGTCCACTGCTAACATCCAAATTTATGATACCACATTCAATTCGATGTGGTTTCTTAGGTAGATTATCACGCATATAAACACCTCTAAAGTGAGGTATATATTTTTTCCCAAAAAAACTAATATTTACATCGGTTAGAGGACCTTTGGGTAGCTGCTTAATTAGTTTTTTGGAGTTTTATTTTCATCAACATAAATTCCATAGCCCTTTTTATATGGTTTGAGATAGAGACCTTTACCCATAGCTATAGCTTCTATTGTTTTGTTATGTCTGGTTTGTTCATCCAACTCTTGTTTGGCTTTTTTTGCATTTAAAACGGCATTGGTAATTGCTGAACTACCCGATGCTAAGGCTCCCAATGCTCCTAATCCAGTTAGAATGGGAATGAGAGGAAGAAATCCACCTCTTTTGGGCACGCTTATTACTCGCGGTATAGCGACCTTTGATTTTTTTCCTCGAAACGTCTTTTGTATTTCATGTCTGGCTATTTTTATGGCTTCATCAATATCAGTTGGTTTTTTGCTTTTAAGGGAACTTGTAGCTTTTTTTAAAGCGTTTTTAAAAAGTTGTTGACCCAATATTTGTTTGGGGTTTTTATTACCCATGCCTAGCTTTGTCTTAGCCTTCATTATGTTAGTTACAAGATATGCGCTAATTTTTTCTCCAATGTTACTATTTTTCGATTTTACTCGCTCCCAAGCCCGTTCAGTTAGTTCACGATCAGCAATGTGACGTTGTTCAATATCTTTATTTTGTGAATAGGCAATATCGTGTGCTCTACACGCTGCATCTAATGGATTAATACCTTGATCTCCTCTTTGAATACGTTTTTCTAGCTTTGTTCCAGGTCCACAAAATTGATATCCTGGTAAATGAAGTTCAACGGGTAAAGAGTTAATCAACTTATTTACCAGTCCTCCTCCTTGAACGTGTTTCTTTCTAATAAATCGCTTCGTGTTGTAAACAATCATTTTATACTTTTTAGCGGGACGCTGAACGAAAGAAATATTGATATTTGATTATATTATAAATATGAATGTTTTCTTAAAACTCATTAGTTTAAATCATGAGATTAATGGAACAACAAGCTAAAATAATTGTTAAAAATGTGGATTTTATGCAAAGAAAGACCCCTCGACATAGTACTTTGCTGCCTGATTCTATACGAGCCTTAATAGTAGGACCATCAAATTGTGGAAAGACTAATGTGATGCTTAGTTTGATAGAAAGCCCCAATGGATTAAAATTTGAAAATGTTTACATTTACTCAAAATCGCTATATCAGACAAAATATGAGTACCTAAAGAAACTGATATCCACTATAAAGGGGATGAGATTGTATACATTTAATAACAATGACGATGTTATACAAACGGACGAAATAAAGCCAAACTCAATCATGATTTTTGATGATGTTGCATGCGATAAACAAAACAACATTAAAAATTACTTCAGTATGGGGCGACATAAGAATGTTGATTCGTTTTATTTGTGTCAAACATACACACGTATACCAAAACATTTATTGCGTGATAATGCGAATTTTATAATCGTGTTTAAACAAGATGATCTGAATTTAAGACATATATTTAATGATCACGTCGGATGTGACATTAGTTTTGAAGATTTCAAAAAAATTTGTCATGAATGCTGGAAGGAAAAGTATGGATTTCTAACGATTTCCAAGGATGACGAAATTCACTCTGGAAGATACAGAAAAGGCTTTCATATATTTATTCAACCTTAATATTATTTAAAGTATTTGCAAATGTTAATTTATATTAGTGCACCTACAGCCATGGAGGAGGAAATGCTGAAACGGCTTGTTAAGTCCAGAAATGTCTTGAAAAAGAAATTTCAAAGCATTAAAATGGGTGAAGAAGCTAAAACTACAGAATTGAAAAATACTTTCAAACCAATAACGGAGCCAATAAACAAACTACTAAAGCTTTCAACTGAAAATACTTCCAAAATGATTATGCCTAAGAAAGAGAAAATGGAAATGTACAGAGATTCTATTATTACAAGTACACCCCTTAAGAATTATAAACCAGATGTTAAGTTAGATTCCAATGCATTGGAGGGGTTAAAGCATAAAGTAGATTACACACAAAATTTCGATTCCTTTAATACATCACAAGACGACGACAAATTTTATTCCAACAATGAGGAACCTATGAATCTATCATTCTTGAAGAAAATTAAAAAACTAGATGTAGTCTATGGTCCACACAAAGATAACAATGGAGAATGGAGATTTGGGGACCAACCACTCAAAATAAGCAATGAAAAGATTATGATTGGAAATAAAAATTGGGCATTAACACCCGGTTTGTTTGAACTGTTGTTTTATCAAGACCCCAAGAACTATGATCATACAGAACTCGATATTTACAAAACAATATTATTAGACACAAATGCGCATAAAATAAACTATGAATCTAATGGACGAACAAAGTCCAACAGGGGACAAAAATATAAGAAAATAATAAAAAATATAATAGAGGATACTCACAGCGGCAAAGGCTTACTGACAATAAATCCTGGTAAACCCAACTATATATACTGGGACGATCCCAACGAATTGATAGAACGATTAAAGCTGTTGTTGGCATCACAACAAGCCGGAAACAATAACCATACTAATGAAATTGTTTCTATTATCGAGGAACTGCGAGAAGGAAATATAATATATTAAATAATACTCTCAAGGAGCATACAACATATGACTGTTGACAAGTTTGGACATCATTACAATCAAAAAAATCAATCAATAGCAGTGAGAGAAAATGTTTCGAGATTATTGGGAGTCAATATTGATGAAGATAACAACCTTAACGTGCAAAATAAAAAGATTAGGAATGTTGCATCTCCAGCAGAAGGAGCGGATGCGGTCAACCAAGCATACGTACATACGCAAATCAAGCACATTCAAGAAATTTTAAAGAAAAAATTCATTCAAGAGTGCACCTTCCTAAGAGAAGAAATATCACAACTCAAACGTTCACAAAACGAAATATTTAAAGCCTTATCGCAAGCTCCATTCAACTCACCAGCTTTAATATATCATACCGAATAAAACAATGGAAAAGCGGGGTTTGGTAAATGAACTTCATCATCAAGCACGAAAAAACTTTCCTAGACGAAGGGTTATTACAAAGGGTATTGATGATCTCTGGCAAGCAGATTTAGTTGAAATGGGCAGTTACTCAAAAGCAAACAAGGGGTTCCGATTTTTGTTAACTGTCATCGATACATTTTCGAAATTCGCATGGTGTGAAGCCCTTAAAACAAAAACGGCAACGGATGTTTCTATGGCTTTTGAAAAAATCTTACAAAGAGGAAGAATTCCAAAAAATTTGCAAACCGATGATGGAAAAGAATTTTTCAACACAGATTTTAAAAAACTAATGCAGAAATATTCCATAAACCACTACTCCACATATAGTGTATTGAAGGCCTCAATTGTTGAGCGTTTTAATAGAACTTTGAAGTCGCTAATGTGGAAGGAGTTCAGTTATAATGGGAATTATCTATGGATTGACGTTTATAGAGAATTGGTTAAACAATACAATAAAACACCTCATCGAACAATAAAAATGGCCCCTATTCAAGTAAATTCATCGAATGAGAAGGCATTGTTGCAATCTGCTTATAACCACTTAAAAATTTTTAGGAGACAAAACTTTCGTGTGGGTGATCATGTACGCATTAGCAAATATAAACATCAATTTGAAAAGGGATACACGCCAAATTGGACTACGGAAATATTCAAGATAAGAACAATAAGAATAACAAACCCCGCTACTTATTTATTAGAAGACTATGAAGGAAATCCCATCCAAGGATGTTTCTACAAAGAAGAACTTTTACCCACAAAATATCCCAACACGTATTTAGTTGAGAAAATTTTAAAAACAAAAGGTAATAAAGTCTTGGTTAAGTGGCTGGGATTCTCAGACAAACATAATTCATGGATAGATAAGAATCATATCATATAATCTTAATATGTAGATATACAATATACAAGCATATATTTAAATAAATAAAAACCCATATATACGTATGCATATTTTGTGTTTCAATTATTACGACAAAGAATTTTGCAATGTCAAGAACGTTTACTGTGTCCGGTAAATCTCCAATTCTACATTCAACATATTTACCCCCAATTGAATTGGGAAATAGTAGTTATGAGTGTTGCCTAATAGATTTCCAATCATACAATTCAATACCCAATGTGGATAATGATAACAATCTCTTTCACATTGGAGACAATATTATAAAAATACCTATAGGATCCTATGAATTGCAAGATATTGCGAATTACTTGGAAACGGAATATAAAACTATCCACGAGAATAGATCCATTGAAATTAAGGCGAATAATAATACGCTAAAAGTAGAAATCATGTCTTCTCATGATCCTATTTACTTTGATAAAGAAAAATCTATAGGCAAGCTTTTTGGTTTTACCGAAAAAATCTTAGAATCTGGGAAAAAACATACTTCAAACCTTCAAGTCGACATTTTAAAGGTTAATGCCATACAAATACACTGCAATATTGTAACTGGATCATTCATGAATGGGTCGCCAACGCATATTCTACATGAATTTGCTCTTAATGTTCCTCCGGGATATAAATTGGTAGAGAGGACCAATGAATCTCATTTATTTACCAGTGAACGTCAAAGAAATCGGTCGTCTGGAGATAAAGATAGTAGATCAAGAAGGTCGCTTTATAAATTTTAGAGAGGAAGAAATCACGCTACGTATTCATATAAGACCAATGCAATCATGATTATCTACAATAAATACAATCATAAACAAATACCAAGACACATTCAACACAAAGTTGTCAAACCGACAAGACCTACAATTTCAAAGGAAAATAAAGAGTTTTTAAAACTTATTAAGCTTAAAGTCAAACCAAATGTCTGAAATACTTAACATTAATGAGCGTCCATTCTCGGATGAGAATATTGTAAAGAGAGACTACCACAGCTATGTTCCATATATTCAATCATTTAAAAATAATGATGAAATTCGGATAAGTATACAAAATCAGGATCTTTACATACTTCCATCGGAGAGTTATCTATTCATTGAAGGAAATTTGAAAAATAGCAAGGGAGAAGTATCGCAAAATGCAAGACTGAGAAATAATTGTGTGGGATACATGTTTGATGAAATTCGCTATGAACTAAATGGTGTTGAAATTGATCGTACTCGTTATCTAGGAATAACTACAGAAATTAAAAATTGGATTTCTCTAAGCGAATCCGAAAGTAAGGTTATGAGCAAAGCGGGATGGAAAGCTGATAATGATTTATCAGTAGGATACTTTAATTTTTGTGTACCCTTAAACCGTCTACTAGGGTTCGCAGAGGACTTTGATAAAGTAATTTGCAACAGCAAGCATGACTTGATTCTTTTGCGTAGTGCCAACGATAAAAATGTGTGTTATTCAACCATGGATACGGAGGAAATTAAACTCACCATAACAAATGTTGTATGGAAAGTACAACACATTCAATTATCAGACTATAGAAAAATCAGCTTCTTGAAAACTATTAAGGATGGAAAAGCGTTGCCTTTAGCATTCCGCAGCTGGGACTGCTACTTTAATCCAACTTTTGCTGGTGGAAGACAACACAGTTGGAGTGTTAAATTGTCTGTCAATCATGAAAGACCACGATATGTTGCTTTGATATTTGAAAAAGACAACAAGCTGGAACATTGCGAACTTAAAAACATCAAAGTTCACTTGAACTCTGAAACCTATCCTTACGATGATTTGAATGTAAAGTTCGAAGAAAATGGCTATGCAGTACTATATGACATGTATACAAAGTTTCAACAATCATATTACATGAGGGAGCCACAACCACTTCTTACATATGCAAGTTTTAAAGACAAGCCCATCGCCGTTATTGACATTAGCAATCAAAACGAAGCTGTTAAGAATGGACCAATCGATTTAAAAATCCAATTTGAAACCAATAAACCAATTCCACAAAACACTTCTGCGTACTGTTTAATTATACATGATCGTCTGGTCGAGTACGTTCCATTAACAGGAATTGTACGAAAAGTAGTATAATCTATTTTATACTCACCTTTGCAAGAATATTTCAATAAAACGCAATTTACATAAATTTATAAACAAAAATATTTTGTTTTATTTTATAATAAGAATAGTTAAAGACTAGTTAAAATATAATACACTTATATTTACTTAAAAATTAAACATTTTGTGTTGCGAGAAAATATTAATATGATGACATTTGTAGTGAATAAAGACAATTAAATTAATATTATTACTATGCTCTTTTATCTGTATATTGAAACTTAAATCATAATTAAATTTATATTTTAATCCAAGTCCATTGAGACAGATTCATTTGAGTTATTTACATTTGTTTCATGAAGGTTATTTAATCTATAGTGGCCCCAAGCATAGGTGTGAATACCATCCTCTAGAATAAATCGTTTATCATCTTGATGGCTTAGCGATATTTTAGTAATTTTGTCTGTATATATTGTATGCTGCCTTGACCTAAACGAAAACATGGTACCGTAAAAAACCTTTTTGTTATAAAGACATTCTCGATATTTATCTATAGTATACTTTTTTAGGACCGACTTTTTAACTCCCTTAGATTTTTTTAATTCTTCGCTATCAACTACATTGATGGCATACATTTTAGGACGAAGGCCTACAAATTCAACCATTGTTTTTCCGTCATTCTCATCTTTCATCATGCCAAGTTTTTTCTTATTAATTAGAGGAAGTTTATATTTATTTTCTTTTGAAAACCCTGAGGTGTCAAATCTAGCCAATATTTCATCTAAAGATAATTCGGAATACAAATTCCGTCCGTAAAATGTTAATATGAACGAATCTGTATCCATATAATTTAGAATAAAATCCTCACCAAATTTCACTTTTAGAAAATCATACAGAAAATCATACATCACCCACTTTGATAAATCTAATATGCAGAACCCTAAGTACAATGGTCTATCATATTTTACTCTGACATTCCTAATTTGAATAGCAACCATATTTTCGGAGAATATCGAAAGGCTGTGAAAATTTGGCTTCGAGATTAATTTACTAGCAACATTCCTTCTTCTTTGGTTTGCCTCATCTACCCACATTGTCACAATTTTCACAGTTTTTCTTTTGTCGATATTCTCCATTGTCTTACCGAATGAAGAGTTATTCAATAATTTAAAAAAATCTTTTTCAAAGGCATTTTCAGCCTTTTCCCTATGTTCATTATTCTTCAGTATGTAAGGAGCTAACCAAGCGCTTTGTGTGAAAGCCAAAACTCTATGGACTTTCTTAAGAATTAGTCCATGTTTCAGAGATTGCTTAAGTAATTTGTAGTGTATGGTGTATGATGTTTTGTCAGTAAAATCTGCAATCAGTTTTTCAGTTTTTGAGCCTTCAACACACTTTTTCTCCGCCAAAAAAGGTAAATCGTTATGTTTGTCGTGAAGGTGCGGTGGATATTCAATATCAACCTCTAAAATAAAACCAGTAGGAGCGTTGTCAGGAATAGATAATATTACAGCTGGATCATTGAATTTCTCCATTTCATAACCCTCCACCCATCTAAAATCTTTTTCAGGGAGACACTCAGTCATAACTGTACCATATAAATTATTTACATCCAAATAATAGATATTTACCTCTGGTTTGGCACTATTATAATTGGGAGCATCTTCATTATTTGCTACCGAGTGTCTGTTTGAGCACTGGGTAAGCCCTCCCCGAATACCATTTTTGCAGAAATTGTACATGTCTATATCTCTGAGTAGCTCAAGTTCGACTTTAGTACATAGTAGCATTGCATCCCAAGATAGAGATGGTGCTGTGAGATATTGACAAGGGTCCAGTTCGTGAATTCGCATACATAAGCTCCTGAAATTTTCAAATACGTCTGCTAAAAGCAAGACATCAGCTTTTAAGTACAAATCCATGTAGTCTTGCATAGTTTGACATCGAAAATGTGACCAAACATTTGTTGCATGCCTATAATCGTCTGACGAGCATTCAGTATCGGTCAACTTATTATAAAATTGGTCTATAGGGGGAAGTTGTTTCTCCTTCAATTTTTCAAATGATGACATATATTCGTAGGGAAATACTCCTTTCCTAGTCATAAGTTCAAATGATTCATCATCAGGAAAATGAGATCTGACAGCAACAAAAGAATCTCGAGATAAATTCCTTGCTAATTTATCCAAACTAGTAGGCATAAATCGAAAACTATCTAAGAAACGATGCTCTAATCTATTCATTTTCTTTTTCTTCTCTTTTTTGCCCTCACTTTCCTCTTCTTGCTGGAATTCCTCATCATCTTCCTCACTCGAATCTTCTTCTTCTCCTACAACAACTGTACTTTTTAAAGAACTAGAGTCGGTTGACTCGTTATCCATATTAATGAAATAAGACATTGAAATATATTTTTCTTTGTTTTGAGGTATGACTCTTATTTCACCTCCAAATTCAACTAACTCTTTAAAGAAGAGGTGACAGTCGTACGAAGAAAAATTGTGGAAATATATTGGAATAAATTTAGGTAGATGATATTGCAGATTGCAATGGTTATGTACCGCACCTCGATATTGCCCCGTTAAGTGACAATGATCTTTCACCCTATCGTTACCTAAAATGTCGCCACATATACGACAATTGATATCCCTAAGAAAGGCTGTCTCTTCTTCGGGGGTTAGAGTATTCATAGGTTTCGTTTTGGTTAGGTAACTATCATACAAAAATTTACAATCCTGAATTAGTTCTTTCAGAAAAACATTTGCTGCGTCGGGACCACTATATATAAATAACTTATTTAAATTTTCATTAAAACTACATTTAATAAAATAACTAAAAGCACATGGAATATGCTTCTTTACCTTTTCCGTTTTTTTACTCGCCCCATTGTTCTCATCTTCCTGCACGTCTTCCAGTACACTTTCGGAGTCAGCATAAATAACGAAAGGCACCTTATCCTTTTTCTTGTGATTGACGAACTTTAGTACGGCTTCTTTTTTGTTCGGCAGGGCACAGACTACTTTTCCACACTGCTTTTTGTGAGTCATACATTTATTTTCATCGTGGAAACATTGCAGGCATCCAAAACAAAAGTAACCTTTCTCCTTATGACTTGTGAATTGAGACCGCATAAGACTGAAAAAAAAAGAACAAATACATGATTATTATGATATGGTTTTGATTGATAAGTTTTGTTTATAATTACCAAGACATATCCATAACCAAAATGTAATGGAAATTTTCTTCGTTGTGCAGCAATATTAAATTAATGTGATTGCTTTTCGTCTCCTTTGTTAAGTAATATGGACCAACGACCGACTTGTTTTCATAACCGAAAACATTTACGCTAATCTCTGGGTTGTTCATTTCAAATTTTTTTATATATTTAAGACCCAATGGGAAATTTAATTGTTCGAAATTTAGCGATATTCCAGACTGCAGAATAATGACATCTTGGTGTATGTCTACGTTATATGAAGAGGTTATACTCGGATCTCCATATGCAGTTTCCCCCAATGCAACAACCATACACCACTTAAAACAAAAGTCATCATAGTTTTTGATGTTAAGGCACGCACCCTTCTTGTTGCTTAATGATTTCGGAGTTGGAATATAATGTGAGCCACGTGTTAAGTTGGCTCTCAACACATTTATGTCAAGTTTTAAAAGTTTCTCCAGGGCCCAATTAGAGCCTCTTTCTTGGAACTCTTCTGATTTAGCTATAATTTCCACACAGTGGTTGAAAACGACCTCTTCCAAATCATCTCCCAGGGTTAATAGCGTTGTTTTTGAAATATGATTAAATATATTTTCAATAGTTAACTCTTTGGAAGTTGAAGGTCCATCTTTTTCATTGTTTGGTTTCACATACAGTCCTTGGAGTTCCATATTAAATTTTATGAGCGTTTTACCGTTTAACTCATTTTTCAAGGTTTTAATTATTAATTCTTTTGAAGCATTAAGAAAATCGATCGGGTACAAAATGTCTTTATTGTTTTGTATCTCATAGCTGAGTATATTTTTGTTAAATGCACTTTTAACAATTTTTATGTCAGAATCCAGATTTTTTCTCACGGTGGATCGATGTTCTTCGCTACGAACGTGTGATCGTATATTATTCACAATTTTATCACAATCACCACAAAACTTTTCCACCTTCACAGCTGATTTATTTTCATGCTGCTGCTTTAGTTTTTCTTGTTGTTGATCTCGATTTTGTTTCATTACATGCTCATCTCCATGATGGTTCTCTAAGTGCAATTCTAAATCGTTTACACTTTCACATAAAACATCACAAAACATACAATGCTTTTTCATATGTTTCACAAATTCATTTTTTTCCTTGTAATAAAGGCTGCATGACCAACAAATTTTTTGAGACATTATAAAAACTTTTTTAAGAATATTAAGAAACGATGCTTATTAATCTGTGACTTGTTGAGTACTGAAATTTCTTCCAATCCAATCAATACATTATTGACTACATTTTGTAAACAAATAGAAATTCTGTGATTGAAGCAGAATTTGTCATGAAACTCTGCAACAACGCTTCCCCCCAAATTCTCATATCCATTTCACAGAAATCCAATTGTTAGTTAATGTAAACAATGGTGTTTCCTTCTTCAAATCCCTTCAATCTTCAATACCGAATTGATGCAGGGTTTGTCATGAAACTCTTTCAGTTTCAATTCTCTCAAATTGCTACATAATGTAAACAAATTCTTCATCGACAAAACTATCAAAAAGCGATCGATATAATGTATCAAAATGCCTGTCCACACAAGAAGAATTTGCTTTGATTGGCTACAGCAGCATTTTTTTAGTGTGTATATGCTACAACATTAATTGGTGGTTAGATGTCGCCTATATCGTTTCGAGGGAAATGACTGGAGAGCCATCTGGACAAAATAATAGAACACACATCTTCTTGTTGACTATGATACTAACCAAATTTGTCTCTGCTATATTCACTTCTCATATGGTGGATCTCTCTAGCCCCATTCGATATGATCATATTTCAATAGTTTTGGAGTGTGTCTATGCTACAACATAATTTATGGATAGTATGGATGGAACTCACCGTTAGATGTCGCCTATATCGTTTCGATGGGAATAACTGAACATTTTTGAGTCGCTAAAATTATAGACAAATTAAAACAAGTACAACGAAAAGTTAGTTTTGTCTTTTTATCTCATCATGTTTTGCATAGCCAACATGCTGATTTTCGTGTTCAACCCACTCGACTTCGTTATCGTTTTTCTTAAAACCCCTGAAATATCAATAATTGCAGCATATTTGTCAATTGAAACTCTTCTATAATATATCACATTTATTGAAGTCGATTTCTTGAAATATATGTTTTCAAATAAATTAATAAGCACATTTGACTGCAGTAATCAACATGTTGACTATATAAAAGCATTCTGAGAGCCATCTAGATAAAATGATTTTCTTCGATACTTACCTCTTACTTATATTCACTTCTCACATGGTGAATCTCTTTAGTCCCACTCGATATGATCATAATACATTTTTTTTTTTTCGGAGGGTGTCTCTGCTAGTGGTGAATATTAAAACTTGAAATTTCACCATCCCATACACAGTTTTGGATTGTGTCTGCGCTAAACTTAGCGCCATCTAGTAGTTCATATTAAAACTAGCAACACCAACGCCAACAGCCCCAATAAAATTTGACGTGGTACAATTCAAAAGACAACATCCCCAATATAATTTGCCGTGGTACAATTCAAACGACAACATCCCCAATATAATTCACCGTGGTACATTTCAAAAGACAACATCCCCAATATATTTCACCGTGGTACATTTCAAAAGACAACATCCCCAATATATTTCACCGTGCTGAATTTCCCCCAATCAACATCCCCAATAGAATTTGCCGTGGTACAATTCCCAAGACAACATCCCCATTAAAATTCACCGTGGTGAATTTACCCAAATCAACATCCCCAATAGAATTTGCCGTGATAAATCGTGGTGAATTCCCAACATCCCCATAAGCACACTACTGTCCACGTGTGATGGCCTTTTAAAAATCTTTAAAAAATCAACATTTATTGACGATTGTGCGTCCTTTAAAAAATCTTTAAAAAATCCACGTTTGATGGCCTTTTTGGGTCCTTTTAAACATTTTTATAAAATCCACGTTTGATGGCCTTTTTGGGTTCTCTTAAAAATCTTTAAAAAATCCACGTTTCATGGCCTTTTTGGCTCCTTTTAAAAATCTTTAAAAAATCCGCGTTTGACGGCCTTTTTGGCTCTTTTTAAAAATCTTTAAAAAATCCACGTTTGATGGCCTTTTTGGCTCCTTTTAAAAATGTTTGAAAAATCCACCTTTATTGTCGATATTGGGTCCTTTTAAAAATCTTTGAAAAATCCACGTTTATTGTCGATATTGGGTCCTTTTAAAAATCTTTCAAAAATACACGTTTATTGCCAATATTGTGTCCTTTTAAATCTTTTAAAAATCCACGTTTATTGCCAATATTGGGTCCTTTAAAAAATCTTTGAAAAATCCACGTTTATTGTCGATAATGGGTCCTTTTAAAAATCTTTAAAAAATCCACGTTTATTGTCGATAATGGGTCCTTTTAAAAATCTTTAAAAAATCCACGTTTGATGGCCTTTTTGGGTCCTTTTAAAAATATTTAAAAAATCCACGTTTATTGTCGATAATGGGTCCTTTTAAAAATATTGTCGATAATGGGTCTATAATGGTATTGTCGATAATGGGTCCTTTTAAAAATATTTAAAAAATCCACGTTTATTGTCGATAATGGGTCCACAATGGGTCCAAAATCCACGTTTGATGGCCTTCTTTAAAAATCGTTAAAAAAATCCACGTTTGATGGCCTTTTTTGGGTCCTTTTAAAAATCTTTAAAAAATCAAAGTTTAATGGCCTTTTTGGGTCCTTTTAAAAATCTTTAAGAAATCCACGTTTAATGTCGTTATAGGGTCCTTTTAAACCTCATTAAAAAATCCACGTTTGATGGCCTTTTTGGGTCCTTTTAAAAATCTTTAAGAAATCCACGTTTGATGGCCTTTTTGGGTCCTTTTAAAAATCTTTAAAAATCCACGTTTAATGTCGTTATAGTTTAATGTCGTTATAGGGTCCTTTTAAAAATCTCTAAAAAATCCACGTTTGATGGCCTTTTTGGGTCCTTTTAAAAATCTTTAAAAAATCCACGTTTGATTGCCTTTTTTGGACCTTTTCAAAATCTTTAAACAATCCACGTTTATTGTCAATAACGGGTCCTTTTTAAAAATCTTTAAATATCCACGATTGATGACCTTTTTGGGTCCTTTTAAAAATCTACGTTTATTGTCGATATTGGGTCCTTTAAAAAATCTTTAAATATCCAAGTTTGATGACATTTTTGGCTCCTTTTAAAAATCTTTAAAAAAAAGCCTCGTTTATTGTCGTTATAGGGTCCTTTTAAAAATCTTAAAAAAATCCACGTTTATTGTTGATAATGGGTTCTTTTAAAAATCCTAAAAAAACCACGTTTGTTGTCGATATTTGGTCCTTTTAAAATCTTAAAAACCACGTTTATTGTCGATATTGGGTCCTTTTAAAAATCCACGTTTATTGTCGATATTGGGTCCTTTAAAAAATCCACGGTTTTTTTGCCGATACTGGGTCCTTTAAAGATCTTTAAAAAATCCACGTCTATTGTCGATATTGGGTCCTTTTAAAACTCCACGTTTTTTGCCGATATTGGCTCCTTTTAAGGATCTTTAAAAAATCCACGTTTGATGGCCTTTTTGGGTCCTTTTAAAAATCTTTAAATAATCCGTAGTTATTATCGACAATGGGTACTTTTAAGAATCTTAAAAAAATCCACGTTTATTGTCGATGTTGGGTCCTTTAAAAAATCTTTAAAAAATCCACGTTTATTGTCGATATTGGGTCCTTTAAAAAATCCACGTTTATTGTCGATATTGGGTCCTTTAAAAAATCTTTAAAAAATCCACGTTTATTGTCGATATTGGGTCCTTTAAAAAATCTTTAAAAAATCCACGTTTATTGTCGATATTGGGTCCTTTAAAAAATCTTTAAAAAATCCACGTTTATTGTCGATATTGGGTCCTTTAAAAAATCTTTAAAAAATCCACGTTTATTGTCGATATTGGGTCCTTTAAAAAATCTTTAAAAAATCCACGTTTATTGTCGATATTGGGTCCTTTAAAAAATCTTTAAAAAATCCACGTTTATTGTCGATATTGGGTCCTTTTAAAAATCTTTTAAAATTCCACATTTGATGGCCTTTTTGGGTCCTTTTAAAAATCTTTAAAAAATCCACGTTTATTGTGGTTAATGGGTCCTTATAAAAGTCTTTTAAATATTAACGTTTTTTGTGGGTAATAGGTCCTTTTAAAAATCTTCAAAAAATCCACGTTTATTGTCGATAATGGGTACTTCAAAATTTTTTTTTTAAAAAATCCTGGTTTATTGTCGATATTGGATCCTTAAATATGCCTCCAAAATGTTTTTCCTCGAGTGTCGAGTGTTATGAATTGAAAACATAATTATTTCTTTTTGCCATGTGTTTGCCCATCTGTGTGTGTTTGTGTGGGTATCCACATCAAACATGATTAAATGTATCTGTGTGTGGGTATGCATGCATCTGAGAGTATTTATATTAAAAATGATTATTTGTTGCACACTTACTCAGTAACAATAATGCCCGCCAGCCATATCAGCTGAAGCAATAACAACAGCAACCAAAGAGTTAAAATAATGAAAGGACGAACTAAATGTCCCATTCAAGGCATTATAAGGCTGCAATCAGGCTCACACACACGGACACATATGCAAACCAACCTAGACGCACACCTATATAAACAAACCAAACACCACATATAATGAGTGTAAATACAAATAAACCCAAGTATATATACTTGCCACACGTATTCTCACACACACACATGCACACTTACACTAATTGCATACAATGGTGTCAAGTGCATAAATGTATGAGAAACCCTATTTGTTGTGACGTTTTTGTCGTCGTTGTGGTGGTCCTGCCGTCGCCACTGGCAAAGTGTAATAAAATTCTGCAACAACGACGAAACTCCCTCCTCCCCCTTCCGCCTCAACAAAAACAAGGTAAATACATCTGAACATGTTTTTATCCTTAGGAAAGGAATAGACCTTTAAACATGCAATAGCATTTCTTTAATATGACATATGTAAATGTGTGTGTGTGTGTGTGTATGTCCCAACATATGTGTGTGTGTGTGCTCGAGCCTGTTTCAACTCTTTGCAATCTAGCAATCTGTATTTAGTGTCCATGGGGAGCATTGCATGTATCAGTGTCTCATT